GCAAGTACAGGCAACTTGGAACGCGGTTGTGAGTCTCTGTAATTCGTCGCAATTCGTATCTAGAAATAGCAGAGGCAGAAGAACTGTTTGGAGCAATATAAAAAGCATCGAAACGGACCTGGGTGATATCGGGATCAACATTAATAGTCTTATGATCAACACGCCAGATAGGAGTGGATGGTCTTGGTTGCAAGAGGCAAACAATATATTCTTTGTTAGATCTCTTAGGAGATTGATTGACTGTGTTATGCTTCCTTCTATGGAACAGGAAACTGAATGGCTTAAGTGGATACCCAGCAAAGCTAATATTCACTTATGGAGAACGCTCAACAATCGGTTAGCGACCGGGGATAATCTTGTGAAACGGGGAGTGACTTGCAGCTCTGATGAGTGCCCGATGTGCTTGGTAACAATGGAGAACCTGGATCATGTATTTGCGACTTGTTCTACGGCAAAAGTCATTAACGCGCATATGGCTTCCTGGGTGAACTGGTGGCCGGCGACTGAGAATTCGGTTCGGGACATGTGGTCGGTGGTCTGCGAGTATGGAGATAGTTGTAGAAGAGAGGTGGGCAAGGTGATTATGGCAGCTTATTTTTGGACCGTTTGGACTTAAAGGAATCACAAGACGTTTAGGGGCAAAAACAAGTCTGAAAAGGAAGCTTGTAGTGATATTCAATTCACTGCGTATGAGTGGATTAGATGTAGAGCGAGGATTAGCAAGTCTTTTAGTTGGGAGTGTTGGACTTGTAACCCGGTTGACGCCATGAACTCTCTTTGTAACTAGCTTCTCGCTAGGCTTCCCTCTTTTTAATATACTGTCTTTTCGCTGTTCAAAAAAAATAATCACCCATTATAAAAACAATGATTGCCATGCAATTGTTATCAATACAAACACTCATTAAGATTCATAGCATGATAAAAGTTATACATAAACCACAAGGGTGGTGCCTGATTGGTTTGAGCGTGACTCCAAAGGTCAAAAGTACCTGGAGGTCCCAGGTTCAAATCCAAGAAGGAATAAAAATCCCCTTGTGGCCATGGAGGTTCAAATGCGGTGACTCCGGGTTATGTGCAAAGCAGTTGGTCGTCCTGAGATTAGTCGGCTCGCATAGTGGGTTGGATATACAGGTTAATAAAAAAAAAGTTATACCAAGTTAACCCCCTGTGGGGATACAACGGTCATATCTTGCATGATACAACATGAAGGTGTGATATCCTACGATGTTTTCCCTTTCTTTTTTTCTATTTATGCTCGGGGTGAGCTTCTGATTAATGATACTCACGATTTGAAGGTGTATGAGTCGAGTCTAGCATTTGTCATTTTTTCTTTTGTTGATATATATGATCAAGTGTTGTACACATCTTACAATTTTGAATACCTTTGGATGTGTGCATCTAATGTATTATTTGATATGATATAACTCTTGCACCAATTGAGAGTTGCATTTTGGATCGTTTGTACAAAAATAACCTCTCTACGTTTTCAGTGGAGGGAATGCCAGCGTATATCATATTCCTTCAGATCCGTTTACCAAATGCTTATTCGGGTAAGTGAACATCAAGTCACTTTATCTTATCAGATGAATATGGTATGAACCAAATATCTTACCCGGTAACTCGGTAAGAGCGAGACAAGAACCAAAAATCTTATTCGGTAAGTGAGAGCGACGACTCTTACCATGGTAAACGCTTACCGGGTAAATTGTTGCAAACTGATTCAGACACCTATGATTATCAAAACAATATTATTACTATTACAAAAATGCATGCTACAGCTTATACAATACGGGTATATATTGGCTGATCTATATAGAGGTTGTTCATAGGTACAATAAATATTAGGGAAAATTTAGTCGGCATCATTTTTCTCTTCGTTGATTTCATGGAGGATCACGACAAGCGCAACAATGAAAGCATAGTCGACATTAGGATACACTGTCACCGCAAACGTGTCTTTTCCGAGTGCAATGCTTTGGACGGTGTGCTTCTTGTGCATCTGCATTTCACCAATTTTAAGCATATATTAGTTTTTAATAGGGGTGAGTGTATGTAGTTTGATACATCAAAGACATCTTCATTGGGAGGTTCTTTAAATTGGTTTATAAATTTTTACACCATCTGTACATGATAACATGGAAGAGGAAAGGTTCATAATCTTGAATCGGTTCTTCATCAAAATGGTGGGATCGCTAAATAATAGAAAATAATTACAGTCAAGGTATAGACAGGTTCATGAATGGGTGTAGAAGGTCTATGAAATGCGTAAGAAAAAGAAATTTGACATGGCAGATTCATGAACCTCTAAAGATCAAGTAACACACATCAAGATCAAGTATACTTCCAATGTACAAATTGACCCAAAAGGGGTTCATTTAGCATCACCCAGTTCAAATTGGTCAAGACTCGTGTATCAATGAGTGAACTGGCTATGTTCGGAAGTATACTAGAGTTAGGACCAAAACCTAATTGGCTCCAAGTATCAGGACCAACTAGAAAATGACCTGGTCCGTTTAGAAATAAGCCAAATCAAACAGACCTAGTAAATTCCACTCGTAATTAGGACCGAGTATCTTAAATCTGGTATTGATCCCTATGGCAAGATAGCATCTATTCATATCTACAAGTAATAAAGTAGACCCTTCATTTCCAGATTAACTTGGGGTTTACCTGGGCAACAATGGTGGTGCCATCTCGAGCATAAATGGTGCATGATCTGTCAAACCAGCTGCCTTTAACTTTGAAGTCAAAAGCATCTTCCTTTTCATTATACCCCAAGAACACATCAAGTGAAGTCTTGAATTGGATCAATGAAGATTGTTTGGCACTGAAGATCAGGTCTTTTGTGTCTGAGCTATCTCCCCTAAACACCACCCACCTATTGTGAACACTCAGCAGCTGCTCACAAAATCGAATCAACAAACAAAACAGAAACTGATTTTGTTAACATTTGAAGGAAGTTTAAGATGATCAAACTAACTGCTAATAATTAATCGGCAAAATCCACAAAATTGCCACTGGATTTTTCACTCTTATCGATAATGAATTTTCAATCAGAAACTTAACCTCCTAATCATACCAATTATATCGTTCCGTTTTCGTCGAAGTTGAATGAAATTACCTGTTTTTAATCATCAATAAAGTTTAAGAAACTAACTTGTTATGCATCAAATCGCCTTTTTGGGGCTCTCGTGTACCAAATCGACCATATATGGTCAATAATTTGATTAAACTCGGATCAAAACAATAGTTACGAGAGTAATAACGAATTAGTAAACTTCTACCTTCGGACCGAAGCAATATATGAATCAAATTGAAAAAACACAAAAATTGAAACAAGGAGAGAAATTGATCAAACCTTTTTCTGGAACGATAGAATCGGATTACCAGCGGCGTCGAGCAAAACTCGGCGATCACGAAGGCTTATATGCTTGCCTTTGACTTTGAACATGACGTTACCGTTGACATCGGTGACGGCGAAGTTTCCATCTGAAAGAGAGAGCAGTTTCTTGACGATGATTAGATCTACCGGATAAGGAGCAAGGAAATGAGGGCCGACGACGGCGACGGGATTCGCCACTTGTGTGGGAGGGTAAGCGTAGCTTGTTTGGGCCATTGTAAAGCTTGTCTGGGTAGGAGCTTGTTTAAGCCAATTCTATAAATTGAAGAGCAGACGCGTAAAGAACAAATTCTAGCCGCGTATTAGCCGAAGCCTCAAGCCAGATATCGTTCTCGGTACGGCTAAACAACCGTTGGGTGCTTGGGACAAACTTCCAATGGTAAATTACAAATTTGTCCCTATATACTTGGTCTTTTTATTGTTTGATTAGTTATAGTATATTATAAAATATTTAATAGAAACTTTTAGAATTTTTTTTTATACATGTAATACTGTTTATTAATATATTACTTAAAATTTAAAATTATAAATAAATTATATGTAAATACAATTTATTAAAGTTTTATGTTTAAATTTGTATAACTGATTGCAGATAAACGTAATTAAATACAAGATAAATATTTTATTTTAAATATAAAAAATCTAAAATATAATTAGGATAAWAATTGAYTTCTAACAAAATACTTAATTAGTATCATTTTAAAAAATTATATTGTTAAATGAAAAAAAAGTAATTAAATCTAAATTAAATTATATTGAAAAAATTGAATTAAAGAAATTACAAAAAATAACAAGAACTTTCAAATATTTGATTGATACTAATATCGATATATTTATTTTTGAAATTTTATGATGTCTTCAAATTTATATTTTATTTAAAAATAAATTTTTTTTTTTCAAAACCACATAAACTGTATTATAACATCTACAAAGACAGAATAAAATAAAACATTAAGATCGAGATATATCTCGCTGCATTGCGCGAGTACCTTTTTAGATTATCCAAGGTTTTTTTTTTGGTTTTTTATCCATTAAGTTTTGAATCAATTAAGTTATCTTTTAAATCAATCTGTTTGGATAAAATTAAGATAAATTGTTATTTGATTTATCTTAAATAAATAATCTGAATAACAAAAATTACCATTTTAACCTTATTTCTTACAAGTATTGACTGGAAATAAATTGTTTGATAAATGTTTAAAATAACAAAAAAATAAAATAATATGAATTGTTTGTAATAACATAAATCATTTTAATTCAATGAGTTCATAACACGATACTTAATAATTTCAAATATATTTAAAACAATAAAGTATTATAGTTTCATTAAAATTTTAATTCATGGATATTGGTAAACGATTTAGTTTTAATGAGACGTGTGATTCAAAATTGTAGGACAAGAGCTATTTTGGAAATGTTATAATTTAACGTAATAAGATATAATGGACCAACTTAACATGTTAAGTCAATCTCTTAGTATTAAGTTAAAATCAAACACCTTCATATAACTTAACTATAAAAGATCATTGGGCCATGCAGATCATAAGTTTTTCAACTCAAGCAAAGAAAAGGGCTCATTGCGCACAAAGAGTATTCACCACTAATATCTCAGGCACGACTGCTAAAACCAGTCATTAGGGAAGTACTATTTTTACCCAAGGCTTTGCTACTTCGGGTCTTTTAACTCAATAAGCATTCTCAATATTATGCTTTGAAGAGAGACAGTCTCAGGTAGACAGTTTCTATGGGACGTAGGCTTCCCAAAAGGTATTAGAGGCGTGCAAAGGTTTCATTTTCCTTCTTTTTGGATGGTAAATATTTCTCAGAACATTGAGTGACCCTAGCTTTACTACAACCCAAAAATCTTGAGAAATTTCCCGAGATTGTAGAGATCGAATTCCTTGGAACACACAAAACAAAGATATGAACTGGGTAAATAGAAATGGAAAAGAGTATGTTTCAAATTCATCAAAATGGCTTGATGAGCACAGATGATGAAGCAGGAGCAAGAAAAATAACTGGCTTTATATACCTAGCGAAAATCTACTTGCTGACTAAAGAATCCATGGATGAAGATAGAAAAGTAGATTTCTAATTTCTAATCGTAACTAAATCCTCAATTTTTGCTAAGCTAACTACCTAGTAAGCTTATTAAGTTGAAAACACACATCCTAAGTCTTGTATGGATAAAGTTGTTTGACTGTCTGTGTAGGTTGAAAACATTTTTGTTTGGGAGCGCTTTTTAAAGATGGAATGAGCTACTTTTTAATTGGGAGGGGGAATGTATGGAAAAAACTTGGATTTGTACATAAAGCTCCCGTTAGAAGCTTACTAATAATTCATTTCTATATAATTAAGTCACTACCAAAAAGTCATGTATAGCTAACTAAATAAATTATAAGATCTATTAAACTCGTTAAGGTACTAACAAATACGCTCTTAGACTTCTTGGTTTAAAGGTGTCTGAACAACTCTAACCTAATTAGTATGATTCGAAAAATCTCAACCTAGTGATTTCATTTAAATGATAACACAACTCAGTCAATTAGGTTTGGTTGACAACCATTAATCATCATTATTAGTTAGGGGCCGTTTACTCAAATGTTTACCCGGTAAACGCTTACTAATAGGAGTCAACACTATAATTTATTTTGATGCGTAAGATTTTGTACATCAAAGCATATCGAATGCAACAATTTACTTGGTAAACGTTTACTTGAGTAAGAGTCGTCATCCTCACTTACCGGATAAGACTCTCTATCATTCTAATTGCTCTTACCCGGTAAGATTCTTAGCCCTTCTCATGTTCATCCAATAAGGAAATTAATACGTTAAATGCTTACCAAATAAGTGTTTAATAAACAGCCCCTTAATAAACTTTTTATGCTACAAAGGAGACAAAAGAAAAAGTCATACCAATATCAAGAACAAAATTGAAGGCTTATGCAATTGGAATGAACAGTGGAATTTGACACTTTTTATGAAAATAGCTAACCAGTTGTTTGTCACAACTATGTAGATCAAAGGTTGTGCTAAGAGCATGTCTAGCGTCAGATACATATAACATATAAAAAGAGGTATAATATATATGAAGGATATACTATTTATCATGGTGGTTTTTGTTCAAATGAGTTTGACTAAATACGACTCAAATACATAAGATTTGTAGATTTTACAACTCGATTAATTATCGGACAATTTTGATTTTGGTTACTTTGACAAAAATATCCTTAATTGTGTTCGATTTGACAGAATGATTTTGAGGGATTTGAATTTGTGAAAAGATTGTGATATGGAGGGATTTGAAATATTTGGTGTATCTGGTTTGTAGATTGGTAATGGAATTGGATTTTATTCTTTATAAATAAATTATATAAATAATTATAAATAATTACAAAAATAATTAAAGTATCTTTTTATTAACTGATTAATACAAAATAAATGTTTTTAACATATTTTAAAACATTATTACATTCAAATCCCCATGAAATACCAACAATCCCAATGGATTTCAAAATCCTATATTTGTGGTATTTCAATGAAATCTCGGGATTTCAAATCCAAAAAATCCTTTAAACCAAACATCGGATTGAAATGAAATTCAATTCCAAATCTCTTCAAATCCTATCAAATCTTACAAACCAAACGGGACCTTAGTTAGAGCATCTTCGACTTATTCTTCAAAATGGAGTTTCAGATATTTTTGGTACAATAGATTCTCCAAAAATAAGAAAGTAGGAGAGAGATGATTAAAATCTCCAAATTTAGACAAACTTTAGAAAATGATTACTTAGAAAAGAAAAATGATTTTTCTTGTTATTAATTAAAATCCTTAAAGTTAAATTATTAGAAGAAAAAAAAAATATTTTACGAATTGTATTGAATATTTTAATAATATAATTGACATTGTAATATTCAAAATAGAGAAACTGCCGGAGATGAACCTAAGTTTTTTTTGTAAAAATTGACTTTTAATTCTTTATTTTGAATAATTTGTTGGAGCAGCTCTTAATAACTCATATATCATGCACAAATGGTCCTAGAGTGTGTCATGGTGTTAGTTTGAGAGATCAAAACACTGATAATTTGTACTATGAATTTTTCGAAAACGGGATATTTTTCTAGAATCGTTTTATAAAAAAAATTAATGAAACGATTTTCATGTAGAATCATATTAGGTTATCAACTTGGTTTTAGGAACGAAAAAATGCAATTGATAATTGGTCGTCTAATTGTATTCTAACAACTTATTGTAACGCATTCTCGTTAAATATTCTATTAAACAACCACTACATAAACAAAGGCTCTCACCGTCGGATTTTAAAATTTCCAACTTTCATCTTCTTTAATATGATACTAGTGTTCGGCACTGTGCGTTGTGCGGTGTTCAAAACTCAATTTAAGAGAAAACTTAAAAGCCTCGACTCGAGTGGAAGTGTGATGTGTCTGAAATCCATGGATCATATTTTTATTTATAACGCCTCATCCAACACCGTAAATCACGATTTGGAAAATACTAACATCAGATAAAGCACGTCATTAAGTCAACACTTTCATTCTATGTATATATAAGTGATATAATAGATATTTGTGATAACCGGATCCTGGTTACTACCCAAGGTAATTTATATGTGATTATCTGATTAAATGATTATGTGATAGCATGATAAATTAATACATTTAATCATGCTGATCTGTGAAAAATTATGTGCACATGTGGAAATATACATATATATATATGTATATGTGTGTGTGTACATGATAAAATGCATGGGTATATATTTATATAATTAATTGTGCATGATGTATGTATGCATGGAATTTGGATGTATGCATATGAGTGCATGTGTGCATGGGTTTGGGTAAGCATGAGGTGGAAAAGTAGAAGGCGGTTTAACCGACCTTTCCACTTTTGGCAAGTATAAAAGAGGCTTAACCTCTCCATTTACTTCTTCTTGCTTATTTTGAGAGAAGTTTTGCTTTTAAAAAGAGAAGTGTTGTATGGATTGCTTGTGCTAAGTTGCAAAAGGGCTGATTTCAAGAATTTGGTTTCAAAAGCTTGTTAAGGTGAGTGGTTTCTAACCTTTTTTGCATAAAATTACTAATGATTTCATTTGCATGTTTCATGTTATTATTCTTTAGAAAGAAACCTTGCATAGTTTTGTTAAGTGTTTATCCGGACAAAGAGTGACCGGATAAGTATTTAAACCGGATAAGCCTTGAGTGGCTTATTGTCCGGATTAGTTTAAACCGGATAAGCCTTGAGCGG